TTCAACCCAGTGGATGCACAGAACACATCCACAGGTAGGGAGGGCATAACACCAGGCTAGAACAGGGCTCCACAAGTAATAGATAGCTGCCTTTGGCAAGAGGCAATTCACTGCTCAGTACCCAACAGCTGCTGCTTACAGCTGTTTCCATCCTTCTCCACTCCCTTACCCATTACTTGTGAGCTCAGAGAAAAGCCTCAGAACTGGTTACAGACCGGGCAGGAAGTCAAAGGGAGCTTGTTCTGTAGAGTTCCACATCAGGCCTTCTGTAGAAGAAACCCACACTAGGAATAACAGCAAAAGCATACTTATTTTCAAAACCAGACCTCTAAAAGCTGAAATGATCATAAAGATCGTAAGAGCTGGCTACCCTTTGTACTCTGTATACATTATCTCACCTAAATCCTTGTATACTGGAGGACTCTTTTTAGTACCCATCTAATGGAATATTGATCTCTGAAGTTCTGTAAATCACTTAAGTGAGATAACAATCCCCATTCTCTCCCCACTCCAATGCACGCAGTTAAAGTTCTATGCTGACTGGAAACTTGTTTCACAAGCACTGTGTTCAATTAACAAGAGAAATCTTTAAGTTATCGCAGTCCAAACTTTCTAGCTAAGGAAGCCTTGGTTTTCCTCTCTCATAAAAAAATGACCAGTTCTTACAACACATCCACTACTTTATTAAAAAATTCTGGCCTTCAATACAGCGTACCAAACATACCCAATTAAGAAACATTATTTTCATTTTAATGATATTCATTTCATTAGCAGAACTATCACTTCTTTTTGGATAAGCTAAATCTTAAACAGAATTTAAGTGATGACAGCTTTCATCTAATGCTAAATATTTTATTCTGACCTTAGAAAACATTTGAGTTCTTCAATACTAGGGCCTCCCAAACTCCATTACTGCACTATCATGATTTTTTTAAAAACCAACCACTGCCTTCTGGCTCAATGTGACCTTCTTACCACTGAGTGTGATAGTTGTGCTGAATTATCCTCTCAAGGCAGGGCCTTAGTCTAGCCCTGGATAGTCACAACAGTTAAGTGAAATTACAGTAAAAAAGGTAATTCAATACATAGAGAGAGCATTTAGAAAGGTTTAAAGCATTTCAACTAAGCTTACATCAACTGAATTTCATTAGCTAGCTAATCTTAACTTTCTGAGCCCCTAAACACACAAATCCAGACTTATTTCTACACATTCATTCAAAGCATGAGATCAATCATGTAACTTCGAGAAAGCCCAGTAAACAAAATCCAAGACTGCCCGCAAAAGTGTTGTGGGTTTCATCCAGAGAAGAAAGCTTAATTCCAATCAGCTTCATCATATATTGTTTTTTTTTAATTCAAACCAAGTTCAAAAGAAAAAAGTAGCAGCAGAAAAATAAAGTAATAAGCAGGCTTTCCAATTCTTCGACTTTGGTTAAACTAATGCAGATTTCCATGCAGTCCTCACTGAGGCACATTACACCTCATCTCTGAAAAATACTGTATTTCCAGGGTTAGCAGCATTTCTTACTATGAGCATCTGGAGAAGGGGGGTTAAAGCTGCAATTAATTATACATCTAGGAACAGTGCTGGAGGCTGTAGCCTGAGGAAAATAGTTAATTCGGTCTCCACTCCACCAGTGTCAATGGAAGCCTTCTATCTGTACTTAAACAGCAATAAATGGTTTTGCCACCTTCAGCCTTTAGCTTCCAGGATGCCAACTCCACTTAAGATTTTCTAATAAATTATTCCAATATAATGATGCTGGCTTGTGCTGTGCTTAATCAAATGGCCATAAAACACAGCAGGCACAAGCTTTCTTAAGGATTATACAGATGAGACATTTCATGCATACATCTCCTGTATTAATTCTATTTTTAGCCTATCAAGATCACTTAGGCCACTTACATTACCTCACTTTAATGGATGCATACAGCAGTGATAAAATGGATGTGTACCAATGATGCAACATTTCCAAGTTTTCCAAATTTTATGCAATCCTGATTCCCTGCTCCTACATAAATGCTTCCCTGCTACTGGATCATCATCATCATTTGAAGCGGAAGCTCCAGCATGCTGCAGCAATTACAGGATGTGTTTTTAGCAGGCACCATAGACACTTCAGACCAAGACAATGTGCTACAGCATGCACCAAGCATTTAGGTACATGCTCATAAATCAATGTGAATTTCTTGATAAATCTGGGGGGAAAAAAAGGGAAAAATTTCATCCTCAGGAAAGAAAGCACATAATTTTACGGGAAAAGAACCTGCTTTTTATCATAAAACAACGGCAAAGCAGGCCACATCAAGGCCAGAGTTTTGCCAACTGAACAAAGCTGCCCCCAGAGCAGATGGTACCGATGCCATGACAAACTCCAGCATAACAATAATCTTTCTGGGATTGGCTGTGTACCTGACAACTACTTCACTTTGGGGAGTGCTTTATACTGGTGGTGTTCCAGAAGCAGACAACCCAACACATAAATACTCATTTACTTTCGTTTTCAAATCAGAAGTAGAATTTGCCAGTTATGTCTTATTGTGGTTGCATTCTGAATGTGTAACAGACTTCAAATTAAAGATACACACACACACTAACAGAGTCTCAAAGTCTAGTTTACTCAACATAATGAAGAATGTTATTTTGCTTGATACGTCAACTCCACAAAGAGGGAGTCAACCAAACAGACTGAAAATATCTTCACTGGTACATTCAGGATGTCATCTGCTGCAGGAGACAATGAATTCTAGTCCTGACAAGTAATAACACAAACCAAATCGGCTATGGTGATTACAATGTTCTGAGGTCCTGGTTTCTCTTTAGCCTGTTCTCATCTACTGCCAAAGACACACTACAAGGAAGCAGAGAGTTCCAAGGTCTGATCTGTGATCTTACAACAGGAAGACAGGGAATTCCAGCTTATCAGTGACAATGCCTTCTCTCTGGGCTTTACTGGTTGACAGGATTAAAATTACATTCACAACCATTTCATTACAGAACTGGCCCTGCCGTTTTTTTGTCAGCATCAGTCCTTGTAAACATTTGTACTGGAAACCAGTAAAGAACGCAACGTGCAAAGAACGGTTTCATTTCGTAAAGAAAGTTCACCTTCCAGGCTTGCAAATAGAAAAATCAAAACTACAAACCCCATGTAAATTTAGAAGTGTATCTTGTAGTGTGGTGTGATTAAATTGGTAAAAAAAAACCAAACAAACACACATAAAAAAAAAAAAAAAGGCAAAAAGAAAAAACCCTAACCCAACTATCTTCCCAATCCTAAACTCTTGCACCGGATAAAGGAAGAACCTTGCTACTTACACAGCGGAAAAGAGCTAAGGACCAGTACAACACAAGACTGTACACAACAGGCCAAGACGCTGAAGTCAGAGATGACTTACTGGTTCAAGAGTCACGCTGAATCGTTTCCAGGTTCTGACCACGAGATTACTACATAAGTGGGGGTTTGTCTTGGTTTACATTTGACAATAAATTCTTACCTGCAGCGCCTGAACGTGTTTCATAAGCATGAGCTGATGACAAAGCATACCAGGGAGTATCCTAGCTGTGTTTCAACTCAAGTGATATCATCCACTAATACTGGGAACAAGTTTTGATGGCAGATTCAAAAGGAATTGTTTTGAAATTCTTGCCAGAGCACAACCATAATTCAGGCAACCCATTCAGCTAGCTACCCAGAATGGATTTAAAATTTTCGAGAATAACAGTACTATCCATTCACTAAGAACATTAGAAAAAACGCTTTTTTTGTCTAAAATATGACCACAGGCACCGCGTGAAATTAAAGCGAGACTAACGGGCGGCATGAAGTTTACACACTGTCTACAAAAGGTGTTTTGTGCACTGAAATTCATCGATTTCAGGACACACTGACGTTCTGCCATCTTGGCAGGCTATGAGATGACCAAGAAACTCCTCAGAGCTCTTGAAACACGTAAATGCTCCACGTAGCTCGCCTGAGAAGGAGCACAGACCAACAGCGACTTCCCGGTTACGCCGCTGCGCTCCCCATCGCGTTTTGCCATTACATCCCAGCAATTCTCAAACCTGCCGAGCAAACCCAAACCTACTCAGGGGCAACTTCACGCCGGGCTCCTTCTTACCCTGGGAGCGGTTTAATAAAAAACAACCACCGCCACCAGAAAAAAAAAAAAATTAAAAAAAAAAAAAAAAAAAAAAAAAAAAAAAAAAAAATAAAAAAAAAAAAAAATTAAAAAAAAAAAAAAGAAAAAGAAAACAAAACCAACAAACTTTCATCACCTCGGCATTTTTTCCGAGTTAGCCGCCGCGAAGTTGCTCCACCCGGCTCCGATTGTGCAACGGGGGGGAGGCGGCGGCGCGCAGCGCGCTCCCGCCGGGGCGCGGGGGGAAGCTATTCCCGGACGGGCGATGGATTCCCGGGTGCCCGGAGGGCCCCGGGGCGGCGGAGTGGGGCGACTGCGGAGCGAGGGCAGCGCCGCGGTGGCTGCTCCGTGTGTCCGTGCCGCGTTATTGCGGAACGCGAGGGATCCCGGAAAGCGCCCGGGCCAGGCGGACCCGCCGCCATCTTACAATGCGGGAGAGAAGTTGCACAGCAGAGGGGAGAACCCGGCCGAGGGGCCCGGCTGCTGCCCCGGGCAGCGCCTCCATCGCGCCGAAACCCCTCGGCACACAACGAGCCGGCGCCATCCGGGCCGGCTTCGGCGGAAGGGCAGCGCCAGCGACCCCGGGCTGTGCTGACATCCGAGCGGCCCCGGGAGCTGCCTCTCTCCAACCCCCCCCCGGCCCCCGCCCTCAGGAAGAGGCCGGGGCCGAGCTCCGAGCTGGAGTGAGCGGCCTCACAGCCCCAGCCGGGCCGCTGCCCCGCCGGAAGGAGCCGCCGAGGAAGGCGATAGGGGAAGGGGAAGAAAAAACATCCAAAAAATAACAATAAAAAGAAGGACGAAGAGGTGAAGGGGGAGGGGGGTACGGCGGAGGAGGAGGAGCCGCCGTGCTCACTCACCTTGTTGATGCGTTTCAGCGCCATTGTGTGTGTGCGAGTGCCGGGCCCGTCTACGCGCCGCGGTGACTCCGCGCTCCGCTCGGGGGGCCGGGAGGGAGGAGGAGGAGGAGAAGGAGGAGGAGGAGGAGAACGAGGAGGAAGGCGGAGAGGGGGGAGGGGGCAGCTGCTCTTCTCCTTCCTCCGGAAACAGCCGGGGGGGCGCCCGACCGGCCGGCCGCCCGAAGTCCTGCCTGCCTGCGGGCAGCGCGGCCGTGAGGCTGCCGGGGGAGCGCTCCGCCCGCCGCCGCCCGTCACGGCCGGGAGAGGGTGCGAAGGGCCGGGAGAGCCGAGAGGCGTCGCCCGCCCAGGGAAGAGCGACAGAGGAAGGGCGAGAGAGCCCCGCGCTGCCGCCGCTGGCCAGGCCCGGACGCCGCGGGAGGGAGGGAGGCGGGGCCGGGCCCGGCACGCCGCCGCCAACGGCTCCCGGGGGCGGGGCCGAGGGGCGGGGCCAAGGGCGAACGGGCGGGGCAGGGGAAGGAAGGTTCTGGGGCTGCCCGCGGGCGCCGCCCGGGACTGCCGTGCGGCTCTGCCTGACCGCGACTGCTGGAGGTTGCGGCGGCTCCGGAGCTCGGCGGCCCCCGGGGTTCGGCGGCGGGCGCGCACCGCTGACGGCGGGTCCCGCCCCGCCCACCTGCCCGCGAAATGGCGGCAGCGGCCGGATCTAGGCCCGCCCGCTGACGCGGCGGCGCGGTGTTCCTCCGCGCGTCAGCTGTCTGTCAGCGCCGCGGAGGGGTCAGCGGCCGCCCCGCGCCCTGGGGCTGCAGCGGGGCTCGGCCGGCCCGGCGCCTGGGAAGGAGCGGCGCTCCCACGGGCACGGCCGTCCCGGGAGCGCCTGGGCACGGAGCAAGGCGGGAGCCCCGCAGCGATGGGCTTTGCTGCGTTCGCCGCCGTGCGGATGACGAAGCTAAAGCGCTGCTCTCGCCCAGGAAGAGCGCGGGCCTGGTCTGAGGGTAGCGGGCCTGGACGCTTCCTTTAGTGGCGTATGGGCACACGCGAGGATACCAAACCGAGTGTCTCAGTATAGGGGAAAAAACATCACCAGAGGGAAGATACGGTGACGTGGACTGTCAGTCCAAGGGCCAGACTCATCAAAGAGAATCATATAATCATCAAAATTGGAAGTGACCTTTAAAATCATAAAGTCCAACTATCACCTGGCATTGCCCCTAAACCGTATCACCCAGCGCCAGTTACAGACACCTCTTCGGCATCTCCAGGAATGGTGACTCTACCACATTCCCGGGCAACCTACTGCAATGCTTGACCAACTAAACATTGAAAAAAATTATTCTAATATCTAATTTGAAGCTACCCTGTCTCACCTTAACGCCATTTCCTCCAGTCGCCTCACAGCAGGCAGTCTAGAAGAGACTGATCCCCACCTCACAACAAAATTTAGGTACTTCTAGAGAATGAGGAATAATTTTATTTACAGTGATAGCATCTGTGGCATTTCCAGCTCCTTGGAGGGTTTTTGTTTTGTGCATTATGGGCCAACAGATCACTCTCAGCCAGGTGTTTTTTCTTTTTCTCACAGTAATAAATTGTGCAGGTTTATACATAGTTCTCTACACGGGGAAGGACTCATTTCTGTGAAACAAGAAGAGATTGCCTGACTTACAGCCCTTCTGTAATGATGGGACGTATAAGAGTGACAAACATGGCATTTGCTGTCCGGGGGGGATGTTCACATAACTGCACTGGACTCAGTTTGTATTCATTACAGTGCTGTAGTGTTAGTTGTCTTGCTGTCTAGGATACTAATTATTCTTGGTCTGGAGAAGGCAGAATATTCAGAAAAGCTTACTGTGTAACAACATTTTCAGTATGAAGCTTGACAATAGGCAGCAGTGAACTAGGAGAGCAGTGGGGGTTTTTTATTACTTTTAAAAATAGCGCAGTAGCAGGACTGCCATGGTTTTTTAATACTGATATTTACAAGCGAAAGAGTAAACAATGCCTTGTACTTGTAAAGTCCAGTTATCTTATTATGATCTCCTAAGCCAATCCTAGCAACTTCCTTATGTAGGCTTCATTTTCTGCTTAGTCTTTTAATTGTACTGAACAGCATGTTCAGGAAGTGTAATTACAAACTATTTGATTTTCATTCTTATCATCTCAGTCAAGAATATTGCTGAAGAACACCTTGCTGTTCCAGCTTTGGATTACGGATGCTATTAAACTGCTCCAAATCACCAGCGTGTCTATCTTTGTACCACAGGCATGATCCTCTGCCTTGTAAATTGCTCACAAACTTTCTGAGCTTCATTATGGTTTGTCATCTCAGGAGATTTACATACTTGGCAGTATTCCAATTCTACATTTTGTAATTATTATTTGAGATTAATGACCTCTAATATGACTTTATATTAACATTTTTGATCAGTCTTGTGATTCACATTTTCTGTATAATGAAAGAAATTAAGAACAGCACAAACATACTGTTGACAGTGTGTAATTTGCCCTGCTAATTTAAGACAACTGGAATTGTTAATCTGGTAAATCAAGTTTTGTAACGTATTAAATTCAATATGTCTATTAGCATTTGACCCCAAAGAGAATTTAAAATTTATTGGATAGCTCTTGTTTATAGCCATTGCTCAGAAACAGATTTGCAAATTTTAGTTTGCTATACTTGTTTAGGCAAACACTTCATTGCACTGTGCTGGTCATTTTTAAAAAAACAAATCTGCCTGTGTTTAAACATTTAAATACTGACCTTTGAGAAAAACAATAAAAAATTATGGCTTGTGTAGGAACGAAAAACAAGACATGCAGTCACAGTTCTGTGACCAGTTCTGCAAGTCACAGCACACAGTTCTGCTTGAAGAACATTATACATTCCATTCTCACCTCCTTTTCCTCAAATTGTGACGTAAAAATCATGTATTTTCTCCTCAGTATTTGGAAATAAATAAAACCAAATCATTTTCTTACTTCACTAGGAATGTTTGGGCAAGAAAGGCCTCAAAACCTGAATATGCTGATGTGCCCATGCCGAGTTTTTCAGTTTTACCACACACAGCATGTATATTCTTTTGCATAGATTCCTCATACGGTAATATAAAATGCAAGAGGTGCAGATCATGGTTAGTGAATAAGGGTGTTGCAACTTATTGTGGAACTATTTGTGTTTGCTTCATTTTAATTTGATTTTTGAAGCTAATCCTCTGAAGTGGCTGTAGAGAGATATTACCATGTCTAATCCTCCACAGCAGTGGAGTCAGGTTAGACCTTTAGAGGTTTATTATGCAAAATAGCTCAGTAGATGTGGCCTGGTAATAAATAGTTTGCACACAAATACTGAGAGCAAACCAGCTCTCTTGAACCCTGTCTTTAAATTTTGTTTTTTCAAGTATGGTGTTCCAGAGCCCTGTGTGGCCAAGTGATCAACAGCTTCCAAGGGCTGGATTCAGCAGTCCCTTTCAGCTGCTTCCTGGTGGTCCAACAGAGGAACGGATGGTCCAGCCATGAATGGAGGTTGTTGCCTTGTTTGGCTGTTACAGCACTGCCCCTCGGGGACTTGAGGGAAAAGCAGCCCAGCCTTTTATTTTAAAGGTTAACGTAGGTTACTTGTACAGCAGTGCTGTTTTAACTTCCGCTTGCCCGAGACCAGCCAGTTTTATGTTTGGAGCATGCTATTCTACCTGCCTTCAAAACAGGTGGAGCAACCAAGCATCCTGGACATCAAGCAGCATTCCATACAGGATGTTTCATATATCTGAGAGGAAAGGGGGAAACAAGATGTCAATGTTTTCCAAAAAGATTTTCCATTTTAGGAGAGAAAAAAAAATTACTTTAACAAAAGCAAGATACCCATCTCATCCATCCAATAGATTACTTTTAGTTCCTGTTTGAAACGCTTCAGCTCGTGCTGCTGGAAAACAAAGTGCAAAGATGAACAACAACAACAACAGCTTCTCCCTGTTTGCATGTATTACCAGGCCTCAATTTTCTCTTCAGCATCCTGTCCAACTTGTTTTTCCTTTAATTACTGTAAATCAAGCTTGCAGCCAAATCCTTCTTTAATCTGAGCAAAACTCACCTTATTGAGGACCCTTTTGATTCAGTGGATACCACAAAGAATAAGATCACAGGAGAAAGCTGATAAAATAAGATTGTTCCATTGGCCTTTTTTTTTCAACAGGACAACAAAAAAAAAGGGTGAATTTGCCAAGCACCATTCCAAGACAGTGGAAAAAACAGGTTTGGGGATGCCATTGGGTTCCACTTGATCTGTTTCAAATTCCAAAGATCAGCAGGCCTTTCTGTGTAGCTGGGGACTTCTCCCCTTCCCTGAGGATGACTAGGTCACAGTTACAGACTTGTCAGTGCATGCTTAGTTTCCTGCCTGTTGCATCTGTGACCATTATGTCTCCTTCTGTTAGGAAAAAGAGGTAGGCAACCCCCTTTCACATTTGAAGTGAAGGCCAAAGTCAGTGTGTTAGGCAGCAGTTAGTTTTTAAGAAATACCAGATGATAGGTAACTTTCTTGATATTCCAACTTGGCCAGTTCTTCATCTCCCATTGTTTCTTCAACAGATTCTCTGACATTTTCACTGAAACAATTCCCAAGCTAATCCATATTTCCTTTTAATTAGAAATGCTTTTCGTCTCATGGAGCAAAATGCTGCGTCCCTACATCAATCCAAGTTGTTGCAACTTTGTGTAGGGAGTTGGAAAGCCTAGTGTTTAAGTCTACATAGGACTCCCAGTGAAAACCTGGAGTGCTTTGTTGAATAATGATATGCTAAGTTTTCATGGTTTGCACAGTCATGTGGGATTCGCAAGAGCATGGAACACTTCAGTAACTTACAACAAGATAAATAGATTGAAGTCCCCCACAAAATCTTCTGCTCTTCAGGATTTTGTGTAAAAAATTTTCTCTTCTCTTGAAATCCTTCCAGAAAATAAGGGCTATTTTACAAGAATAAACATATGACAACATAAAATTTATGCTTTTTTCACAGACCTAAGCAAGAGAATCTCTGAAAATCACTACAGGTTATTTATTAGTATGCATACAGAGTATCCCTTTTTTTTTTTTTTTCCCAGCAAAACTACCATTTGATCTAGATGAAAAATATATCCCTGTCAAGTCACCAGCAGTTTTTGTCAACAAGAATGTTCATTTTCTGTGCTGATTCAGCTCTGTGGATATTGAAGCATGAAAGTCAGATGAGCATGTGCGTGGTGTAATTATGATGCCAAATTTGAAAACTGAAATTTTTTGTTGTCGTGCAGTTACTAACTACCTCTGTTTCCTTCTTTTGTGTGAATTCTTTACATGCCTGAATAAACATAGATAATATAAACATACGTGGCAAAATAGGAGGGGTGTGAAGGGCTAAGCAATTATCCACTGCTGCTAAAATAAAGTAACACAGGCTGAATTCAGCAGGCAAAACCCCTCTCTGGAGCAACTCAGGAGTTTTATCAATTTCGGGAGGCTAGGATACATTGGTTGGAGACCTTGTCAAAAAGGTGTTTAATGGTGACCTACTTTACCCTATCCCTTTGGAGGTGGTTGCTTTTCCTTGTTATACCTGTTTTTTGTCCCCTCAAGCTGCCTTCAGACTGCAAGCTGTCTGTATGGGTTACACTGTTACTGAAAATGAC